CTGTAGTCTAGCTATTTGGAGGATCATTTGAGCTGAGGAGTTTGAGGCTCACCTCTTGTCTTACCGGTGCCCCAGACACGGCTTTTGCTCATAAGCCCTAATTAAAAAAAAAATTTTTTTTTTTTTTTTGAGAAACTGTCACCCTCTTTCTTTGGGCTCTCAGCTTCCTCAGACTTTAGGGGTAGAATTGCATAGGACTGCCACCGCAGAACATCTTCTAATCCTGATTACCTCTCAGAGATGCCACCTCCTATTACCATGATATTGGGGATTAGAATTTCAATGTATGAATTTTGAGGGCAGGGAAACTTTCAGTTCATAACACTCCCTAGAACACCAGGATGTTCTATACAGTATTTGGCTAGTCTTAGTCATTTGTCTTCTATTTCAGTTATTAGAATTCGTGTTTTAAAATTTCAGTGACAAAGAAACCTGGTTTGGAATTTCATGGAATATAATAAAACATTTGATCTATTTCAAAGAGGTTACATCATGGTGATACTCAGTCTCCTTTCTAAGGACCTATGATGTCTTTGCATTTGTATCATTTAGCATCGATGTCTTTCAATATATACTTTTTGCATTATAATCATTTTTTATCCTTCATTAGACTTTTTGGGATTTCAAGAAAATTAATAGAAAGTAGTTTTAACAGACTATGTTATTGTCTAAAAAATTATATTCATATGAGTTTTTGCTAGTATTTTGCTCAAAATACACTGAGCTTTATTTATGTATAGAGTTTGCATTCTAGAAACTTACTAAACATATAATATATGCAGAAAATACATAAAAACAATTGTACACAGTGAACCTAAATATTGATGGTACCAGTATTTTGAATTATACATTAATTTCCTTTTCTTCTTAGTTTTACAACCTGTATATGCATACCTATGTCTCATATTTTACTTTTGGATGTTTTTATGCAAATGATATACTATACGTCAATAGTCCCCGGCCTTTTTGGCACCAGGGACTGGATTCATGGAAGACAATTTTTCTACTGGGTGGGGAAGGGAAGTGGAATTCAGGCAATGATGCCAGTGATAGGGAACAGTGATGCCAGCCATGGGAGCAGTGAAGCTTTGCTTGCTTGTCCATTGCTCACCTCCTGCTGCTCCCCCCCAACCCCCCACCCTGCGCCCATTTCTTAAGTTTCATGGAAGACAATTTTTCCACGACAGGGTTTGGGAACTACAGCTGTACGTGATACTGTATGTCAGGTTTCTTTTTTACTCAGTAATGAATCTTCCATGGAATGGTAGTTTATTCACTTTTTTTAATCTTGTAGACCTTATTATTTAGAGCAGCGGTTGTTTGACAGAAAAATTGAGCAGAGAGTCCAAAGAGCTCCACGTTTTCCTTCCTGACTCATAGTTTCCCCTACTTTTAACATTCTGACTGTATGTAGGGCATGTTAACAATTGATGAAGCAATATATAACTTTTGATGATGAGAATTGATGAACCAATTCATCATTACTAACTAAAGTCCATATTTTACATTAAGGTTCTCTCTTTGTGATCTGTGGTTTTATGGGTTTTGACAAGTCCATGTGTCATGTAGCCACCATCATAATCTTTTTTTTTTCTAAGTTCACATCAGATGGGCAATATGCTGATCATAACAAAGTTTGAGGGAGGTGTATTTCACACACGTGTGTGAACACCCAATCTGATCAACTACAAAGGGATGGCACCATCACAGCCTTACACAGAAGAATTTCCCTGCGCTAAAATCCCCCTGGGCTCCATCTAATCATCACTCTTTCCTCCCTCCTCAATGTTTTGAAAAGGTTTGAGGAGTATTGGTGTTAATTTTTCTTTAAATGTTTGGTGGCATATTTCACCAGTTAAAATATATCATCCCTGTGATTTCAGTTGTTGGGAGTTTTTTATTATGTAATCAATCTTATTAGTTGTAGGTCTTTTCAGATTTTCTGCTTCTTCATGACTTTGCCTCGGTACATTGTATGTTTCTAGACATTTGTCCACTTAATCAGTGTTATGCAATTTGTTGGCGTACCCTAGAGACTTCTTGAGTAAGGTGAGAGGCGTGCAGTTCTATCAGTTGTCTTTAGCTGTTAATATGCTAGAGCCCTACTGATGTGGCCATAAGCTGTGTGTGGGGGGGTGCACATTTCATTGACTTGTGATTTGGTGCCATTTTTAGGAAACCTATGTCCCTGAATTGTGAAAGTCACAACTTTCATAAGGGCTTCTCATCCTCACCCCTCCTTCGTTGAAGCAAGGGTTAGAAGGGGATAGAATTGGATATTTCCTTTTCCCAGGAGTTTTAGCTCTGCTAACATTCCAGTTGATTAGGCTTTTAGGCTTTTAGTTTGTTTTCAAGGTAGTATTTGTTAAGAACAACAGAATTCTGTGGGCATCTTTCGAAATGGCTACTCTTCTCCTAGAATCAGGAAGGGATTTTTCTCGATGTTAATTGTGAGAACTGGTAGAGTTTCTGGAGGTAAATCTCACAAATTTGTGTGGACCCCATAAGACTGGGCTCCTGGGTTATTTACTTCTCAACTCTGTCCCTACTTAGCCTTCAGCAATTCATCAATTACAGTTTAGGTTTTCCTCCCTCTACTGCCTCTTACTGAGGTTTCCGCTCATGGGTTCCTGTTCCAGTAAGTTATGACTCTTTTATCAGTTGGGTTGGTGGAGTCCGAGTAAAATCTAGTCTCCAGATACCATCAAAATTAAACTGTGTGGACAGGTATTTCCAAGGATGCACAGTCTGAGAACTGCTAATGTTAACTTTGTTCTATACACTAATTGGTAGGACTTTGTCGTGACAGGTGCTACAAATCCACTGAACAAAGAGACATTAGGGGTGTCTCAGGCAGTACATCTTTCTCCCTGTATTCACTTAGACATGTTTTCCTGTTCTGCTGTTGCTTTACTCAGTAATTTAATTCTATCATAAGAATTGCTGTGTGGGAGGAGGTGAGTATAGACAGAAGGAAAAATAAAATCCTAAGTTCCTCAAGTTACTAAACGGACCCCCTCTTGGCCAAGACACCCCAGAAAAGCCTTAAAACTGAGTTTCTGGCCATCACAGGATGGTAGGTCAGATCTGCCTTCTTATACCCCCTTTTGCAGTTTAGACACAACTACTAACCAGTGTTTATATTAAAACAGAGATTGTAAGACTCACAGAATGGACTCTGTGGCAATAGGATACCAAATTATAAACAAAGGTTAAGTCATGCACCCTTACACTTAAGGAATAAACTATATTCTGACTGCTATAAGATACTTATTTTTCTCTAGCAGCTAAACAAGCATTGGCCTCAAGATAAGTGATATTAAAACAATTGCATCTCATCCACTAGCAGACCTAACTGACCCCCTATTCCGCAAGCCATACCTACGGCTTTGATTAGATAAGAGACTAATTTCTTTTTTTTCCCTTTTCATGTTAGATGGGTAATATGCTGATGTCGTAATATTCGAAGGAGGCACATCTGACATATAAGTATAAAAACCCAATTATCACTCTTACGAACTACAAAAGGATCAAGAGACTGATTTAAGTAACTGTCCTGATAAGACACCACCAACCGTGGATTGGTTCTGGCCAGATTACAGAGGCTGTGCACTTGAGTGCCTTGGTGTCCCTGTTTCACCTTTTGATATATAGGCACCAATTATAATATATTTAAATGTTAAGTTTCCACCCCAGAGTGAACATGGGACACATGTGACATATATGTTTGCTTACCACACATGCATGGGATCCCCTGTCATGAACATTTATGGCCCCCCCTATATCCTTTCGAATATATGTACTTGGCCAACCCATTCAACATAAATTCCTGTCTTACCCCTTGCAAAGTGCCTGTTTCTGGACTCTGCAATGGCCCCCTTGCAGACTGTAACCCTTTATTACAAATAAAACACTCCTTTCCAAATTTATAAATTATATGATTTTTAAGTTGACAACAGAGAGTCTGATGACCATGTCGTGGAAGAAATGTTTGGAGACCACAGCATCATGTGGACGTCTTTGAATAGAGCAGAGGACCCTAATGCTGTCAGTCTCACACATCCTCCTCTACACATGTGGGATGTTTCAGGACTCAGTGGCCTTTGAGGATGTGGCTGTCAACTTCACCTTGGAGGAGTGGGCTTTGCTGGATCCTTCCCAGAAGAATCTCTACAGAGATGTGATGTGGGAAACCTTGAGGAACCTGGCCTCTATAGGTAAGGGTGACAACATTCCTTCACTCAGTGAATTAGAGAACAAGTGTTTCTTACCTATCAGTGCTGTTTGGTAATTTGGAACATGGACATGGAATACTTTGATAAATAGATCAGACATGGCTGCAGTGTACCATGAACATAGAATCTAATAATTTTTTTCCTGGGTTTGTATTTTAGGAAAAAAATGGAAAGACCAGAACATTGAAGATCAATACAAAAATCCCAGGAGAAATCGAAGGTAATTTGCATTCAGGAGAGAAGGCAATTTCCTTGAGAGAGAATCTTAGAATGTCAGAAAATGTTAAAAACAAGCAAACAAAATAAATAAGCCCAGCATCAATTTATTTCTTCTTAGAAAATTTTCTCTAAAAACATATACCTAAATGTGACATAGATGTTTAGTGATCGTAAAATAGTTTACTTGAAATAGTATTAAGAAACCCTATCAATATTATTTTTTGATAATACGTATGGCCAAGCTGTCTTGCCAGCTTGTGGTCCATTCACATTCAAACAATTCATGCAGGGCAGAAAGCCTAGACTTTCTTTGATAATGTTAAAAACACAAGTCCAGCACTTATCAATATAAAATCATTTATAAACAAGCAGTTTGTTTGTAAATGTGTTCTCATTTTCCACAGAAGTCTTCTGGAAGAGAGACTCTGTGACAGTAAAGAAGGTAGTCAGTGTGGAACAACTTTCAGCCAGGTTCCAGATCACATGCTGAACAAGAAAACTCCTCCTGGAGTAAAACCATGTGAAAGCAGTGTGCATAGAAAAGTCTCCTTTGGGCATTCATCCCTTAATAGGCACATAAGAGCTGACAGTGGACACAAACCATATGAGTATGAGGAATTTGGAAAGAAGCCATACATACACAAGCAATGTGAGAAAGCCTCCAGTTATCATGACTCCTTTAAAACACATGAAAAGCCTCAGACTGGAGAGAAACCCTATGATTGTAAGGAATGTGGAAAATCCTTTATTTCTCTTGCAAATGTTCGAAGACACATGGTAATGCACACCGGAGAGGGTCGTTATAATTGTAAGTTTTGTGGGAAAGCCTTGGATTGTCTCAGTTTATATCTTATACATGAGAGAACCCACACTGGAGAGAAACCATATGAATGTAAACAATGTGGTAAAGCTTTTAGTAATAATGCTACCCTTCAAATACATGAAAGAACTCACACTGGAGAGAAGCCATATGAATGTAAGGAATGTGGAAAAGCATTCAATAGTCCCAGTTCCTTTCTTAGACATAAAAGGACTCACACTGGAGAGAAACCCTATAAATGTAAGGAATGTGGTAAAGCCTTCATTTGTTCGGGTTCCTTTCATAGACATGAAAGAACTCACACCGGAGAAAAACCATATGAATGTAAGCAATGTGGGAAGGCATTCTCTCATCTTCTAAGCTTTCAAAGACACAGGATAATGCACACTGGAGATGGACCTCATAAATGTAAGATATGTGGAAAAGCCTTTTATACTTCTAGTTCATTTCGAAGACATGAAAGAAGTCACACTGGAGAGAAGCCCTATCAATGTAAACAATGTGGGAAAAGCTTCCGTTGTTCCAGTTCTTTTCGATATCATGAAAGGACACACACTGGAGAGAAGCCTTATGAATGTAAGCAATGTGGTAAAGCCTTCACTTGTTCCAAGTACTTTCGAAGACATCAAAGGACTCACACTGTAGACAAACCCTATGAATGTAAGGTGTGTGGCAAAATCTTCATTCATTCCAGTACCTGTCGAAGACATGAAAGAACTCATACTATTAATGTATGAGAGAAATGCTATTTTGGTAAGGAATTTGGAAAGCATTCAGTTGTCCCCAATTCCTCTCAAACACAGGAAAAGAGAGTAGAGAAAGACCCAGTGAGATAATTGACTTTGAATTAAGAAGAGAGCATTGTAATAGGACAATAAAATCTACAGTTGGAGTTGGAACTCTGGATTATATGTTGGGAACTAGATTTCCCAGAATCTATTCCATTTATGATTCCCTGGTATAATTCACCTGTAGCCTGTTTTACATGAGATTTTGAAGGCAAACATGAAGAAGGCATTAGTTCCATTTTGGAGGCACCACACAGGGAGACAGACGGATCCATACGGGTTGTGCAGATACCTGATTCCAGCCCATTTTCCTGATTCTTTGACTTGCCAATCAAGAGTATCCTCAAAATCACTTGACTTTAATTTTTTCTTTGGTGTTTCCAAAGATGTCCTGAGAAGTTTCACATTAAAGATCTATCCACAGTTTGGTTTTTTCCAGGCATTGTAATGTGTTTAACCAGGCAATTAATTCAGACTGTTATGGGTGGTAGTGTTCTCAGATGCTCTGACTCCCCTTATGTATAGATGGAATTGGCATAAAGTCTAATTTGTATTTCGTGTACCTTTGTGCCCACTAGAAGTGACTCTGTTCTTGAATTGGGATGATAGCTATAATGCCACCATCAAAACCACATAGGTGGGAGCTTGTTCCTCTGTTGTACTGTGAAGTGACTGCTCTCACCCAGTAATTTCATGTGATAATAAGTACCTTCTTATCAGGATATTTCATGTGTTACCAATTATTCACAGCTAGATATAATATCTGAGTTCATTTTCAGTTATGTTTGATTATATGTGATTAAAAACAGTATATATTTTGTTTACAAAGAGGGTTTCTGTGCATGTTTCCTTGAAATCGTTTATTAACTTTTTTTTTTTTTTTGAGACAGTCTTTTTCTGTCATCCTGGTTAAAGTGTAGTGGTGTCGTCATAGCTCATTGCAACTTCAAACTCCTGGGCTCAAGTGATCCTCCTGCCTCAGCCTCCCTAATAGCTGGGATTACAGGCACAAGCCACCACACCTGGCTAATTTTTCTATTTTTTGGTACAAACAGGGTCTTGCTCTTACTGCGTAGGCTGGTTTGGAAAGCAATCCTCTTGCCTCAGCCTCCCAGAGTGCTAGGATCACAGGCATGAGCCACTGCTCCTGGCCTTATTAACTGTTTTTAACAACTGGTATACTAACACATGTTATTGTCTTTTTAATTTACTGAGAATACATATTAAAATGTCCTATTGTCATCATGGATCAGATCAAGTTTATAATGCTGCCAAATTGTTCATTCAACATCATGAGTCAATATTACCATGTACATACATAATTTCAGGCATCTTCCTCCTGGAAATTTTACTTTTCATGCTTATATACTTACAATCTTTATCTTCATCCTAATTTTTCCTTTACTCATAATTCGAAAAGTTAAATCATGCTGTTATGAGTATCCTCTTGCCAAGGACGACCAGTACTATACCTGTTATTAACGAGGGCGTAATAAATTGCAGGTAAACATGTGACTGCAAGCTATAAATGACTGTGGAATTCATCAGTAAGAGGGTTCTTAATAGAATTTCTTATGGCATTATCATAGTTCACTACAGCCTCCAACTCCTGGCTCAGGCAATCCTCCTGCGTCAACCATCCAAGTAGCTGGGACCACAGGCATTTTTCCACCATGCCTGGCCAACCATTCAGCCCTTTTAGATGAAAGGAAAGGCTCAGACTCAAAGTGAGGGCACCCGAGCTGTTCATGTCAGAGACTCACTGCCCGAAAAACCTTATTGATTTTAGTTTTCACTATCGACACAACTACTTCCACTGATTATTCTGGTTTATAAGCAGTTGGATGATTTTAGTTTGTCTGGTGTTTGGGCTAAGAATATTCTATTAATATTATGAACTTAAACTTCAGCCACTGTACTGTAATGATTCAATGTTGTATCATGATATTGCTATAAAAAAATTTATGTTGTCATTTATTCTTTTCTTGATTCAAGAAGTAAACTAGGAGCTTTTGAATCATTCATAGTTCCTCTGCAAAAGGGTCAGTCTGCAACTTTTTGGTAACTTCTGTTAAGGAAAATGATGGACAAAGAAGAAACTGTAATAACTGTGGTGTTACTTTTTTAACATAAATTACCAACATGGGAAAAATAAAGATCAATTTTGTGTCCTTCAGTCATGGGGGTAATTAATGTCCCATAACAAGGTAGTAAATGCCCCCTCAAGTGGAAATTCTCTAGTCCAAAATCCCTCTAGTTGTCACTAGGAGGCGCTCACAGCTTTTGCCATAAAGCCCTAGTCTATGTTCCACACAAGGCTGTCACACAGGGGATTTGTCACTGTCAGCACTCCCAGTTTTACTCTACACTCTGTGGGTTTTCCCAAGATATCACCATCTGTCCTGGAAGATAGTTTCTAATGAATAATTTAAATCTGGGATTTAAAGAGCCACAAATGGGTTCACCTGGGGCCAGTTAGACTGCTATTTATACAATGCACACCTGTCGAGATACTACTACTCCAGGCACTAGAGGTATAACCTTAGAAAGTACAGAACCCTCCAATTGCATCTGCACGTGGGTTCCCTGCTGTCCAGTGCTCTGTGGCTTCTCAGAGTCACACTCCTGCTGTGTCTGTCCTGAGCAGCTGGAGGCCCCTGCAGGGAGAGCAGGCTGCCTGAGAAGTCCCATTTCCCTCTCTTTGCAGCTTCCAGACTGGCCTCATCTTGGAGCCACTGGCCTCAGTCTCTGCTGCCCACTGCAGGGTGTTCACCTGCTTCTCACGAACATTGATCAGTAAATGGGACAAAGACCTGCAATCAAAGACCTGTTTGAATAAAAAACCAGCAGGACCCCTGCTTTCTTTCTGTGTTTGTATATAATGTAGAGGAGGAAAATTCCAATATAATTTGTACTAATTTAAAAACTAGCAAATCATTCCTTTCAGAAAACAAAAATGCCAGCAACATATGATTTTCACAATAACAAATTGTTACATAAAACAACTAATCAAGTGTGATCTTTTCTTTTTCTTCTCCTTTCTCCCTGACCTGCATCAGTTCATGGTTGTCATCATGTGCTCTGTGTCTGGGATGTACATGCTCAGTTTTCCCATCTCAAACTCTTGATCAAACCCACCCCACCACCACTGACCCACCCAATCATTTCTGCAGCTAGATCCTAAGTATTGCATCCATAGCATTTCCTTTCAAGGAGTCTGGCCTCAGTTTGAATCTACCTGTGGCTCTCTCATTTTCCTCAATTTAAATTATTCAATTAAAATTGTCTTCCAGGACAGAGTGTGATATCTTGGATAAGTACCTTCTCCATCGTATTTAGTTCTATTCTCCCTATCCTGTCTTCTGCTCATTGAGGGAAAACACAGAATGTTCTAAACTGTCACCTGCTGTAAACAGTGGAGGTCTCAACCCTGAGAAATCCACACCCGAGACAGAACATGTAGATGTTGATGCCGCCCTCACCGCAAGAGGGAGCTTCACCGACTCTTTCTGGAAAATGGCTCAAAGCGGTTTCTTTTCTTTTTTTTTTCCTTCTTTTTTTATATAGAGTCTCATTCTATTGCCCAGGCTAGAGTGCTGTGGTGTCAGCTTAGCTTACAGCAACTTCAAACTGCTGGGCTCAATCAATCCTCCTGCCTCAGCCTCTCCAGTAGCTGGGACAACCAGTGTGCACCACCACTGCCGGGCTAATTTTTTCTATTTTTAGTAGAGATGGAATCTTACTCTTCCTCAAGCTGGTCTTGAAGTCCTGAGCTCAAGCGATCCTCCCACCTCAGCCTCCCAAGGTGCTAGGATTACAGGCGTGAACCACCGCACCCGGCCTCAAAACAGTTTCTTAGAAGACTTTTATATAGGGACATACAGTTCATAAAAGTAAAGGTAACACTGCACAATCTAGTTTCATTTACATGATTTAACTTTTCATAGGTTGATAAAACAAAGCGATAAACCCTATGAACCTTGATTGCACTAATGTGTTTCTGAAAATTGCAGTGAAAAAAAAATCTACACATGGAAGGAATTAGGAATAACTGAGGTGGGAGGAAGAAGACTTGCTGAGGCCCGGCGTGGTGGCTCACGCCTGTAATCCTAGCACTCTGGGAGGCCTAGGCAGGAGGATCGTTTGAGCTCAGGAGTTCGAGACCAGCCTGAGCAAGAGCGAGACCCCCGTCTCTACTAAAAAAAATAGAAAGAAATTAATTGGACAGCTAAAAATATATAGAAAAATTTAGCCAGGCATGGAGGTGCATGCCTGTAGTCCCAGCTACTTGGGAGGCTGAGGCAGGAGGATCGCTTGAGCCCAGGAGTTTGAGGTTGCAGTGAGCTAGGATGAAGCCACGGCACTCTAGCCCAGGCAACAGAGTGAGACTCTGTCTCAAAAAAAAAAAAAAAAGAAGACTTGCTGTGGAGGTGACATTTGGAGTGAGGCCTGACATAGTGTAGTATAAAAATTCAGGGCAGAGGATGCTGAGACGATGGCAGAGTAAGAAGCATGAGGAATCTGTCTGATGCCTGATGTAGCTATTTTGGAACTCTGGAATCTATTGGAGGTTTGCAACTTCCAAGGAAAGGATTGAATGGTAAATTAAGGTTAATTTCATACAATTTTAGCTCTTAGCACAGAAGCTATCCATCCCTACCCCCATCCCTAAGGCTTGCAGTTGTGTAGAAAGCTTGTGGAAGCCAGTGGACAAGAACAGAGTTCTCCAAAGATTGCAGACCTATGCTCTGCTTCCTAATGGCTATTTCTCGTCACAATAGTGAAGAGAAAAAATTGGCCAGCCCTTGTTCTTGCATCTCCCTTCCCAATTTTGCAAGCCCCTCCCCCTCTAGCTGAAGTTCTTCAAGGACTTTTAAGGGGCTAGTACCTAAAGCTCCATGCTTCCATCTTGGACAGGAGTCCTGTACAGCCAGGGTCATCAAGGTGCT